TTTTTGCTGCTCCAGTCAGCCAAAGGGACACTTTGTTGAGGCTCCAGGGCCACAGGGCCTGGGCAGTAGGCTGCCGTTCGAGGAAGGAAGAGGCTTATTTGACCTTCTTCTTGGGTCACAGGTTGTTGGTGTGGCCACACTTCTTGCAGCAGTTGACAGCATGGGGGTGCAGGGAAGCATAGCACTTGCGGCAGATCATCTTGTCACAGTTGTATTTCTGGGCGAGCTGGCAGAGGGAAGGCTCAATAATGGCACCTTGCAGGCACGGCACCGGGTGCAGGGTGGACTTTTTCTGGATGTTATAGTCTGAGTGAGTGCCGCCATCCTCCAGCTGTTTGCCAGCGAATATCAGATGCTGCTGCTCAAGTGGGATACCCTCCTTGTCTTGAATTTTGACTTTGACATTCTCAGTGGTGTCACTGGGCTCGACCTCGAGGGTGATGTTCTTGCCCGTGATGGTCTTCACAAAGCTCTGCATCTCTGTGTCAGCAACTTGGCTGCCTTGCTGAAGAAAAAGAGCTAAAGTTTTGTTTTTGTTTTTGTTTTTGTTTGTTTTGAGATGGAGTCTCACTCTGTTCCCCAGGCTGAAGTACAGTGACAGGATCTCGGCTCACTGCAATCTCTGCCTCCCGGGTTCAAGCGATTCTCTTGCCTCAGCCTCCTGAGTAGCTGGGATTATGGGCACCTGCCACTCCACCCAGCTAATTTTTGTAGTTTTAGTAGAGATGGGGTTTCACCATTTTGGCCAGGCTGGTCTCAAAGTCCTGACCTCAGGTGATCCACCTGCCTTCGCCTCCCAAAGTGCTGAGATTACAGGCATGAGCCACCTCACAGGGCCAGGGCTTTAAAGTTTTAATGGGAGTTTTCACAGTATTAGTTCATTCCATCTTCAGCAACATCTGCGAGTAGATAATGTTATTAATTATTCCAATATTGCTTGCATTTATTTATTTATTTATTGAGATAGAGTTTTGCTCTTGTTGCCCAGGCTGGAGTGCAATGGTGCAATCTCGGCTCACTGCAACCTTTGCCTCCTGGGTTCAAGCGATTCTCCTGCCTCAGCCTTCTGAGTAGCTGGGATTACAGGCATGTGCCATCATGCCTGGCTAATTTTGTATTTTTAGTAGAGACGGGGTTTCTCCATGTTGGTCAGGCTGGTCTCAAACTCCCAATCTCAGGTGATCCGCCTACTTTGGCCTCCGAAAGTGTTGGGATTACAGGTGTGAGCCACTGCGCCTGGCCCCAATATTACTTTTAAATTCTGTCATATTATCACTATATCCTTTTACCTTGGAGTAATAAACACAATTCTCAAGAACATGTATTTAGTCATTCAACAGATGGTTTTCAGTACCTAATGTGTATTCATTACTGTGGTCTGAGCCTATGACTTCTGTCTTTCTGATTTTCCTGATATTTAGCAGAATCAGAATGTCATACTTGTGATTAGCTGGGAAATGACAAGGGCAGACAGACTAACCTGGTGTTTTGTAATCAGAAATGGATGATGAGTTTTGCAAAAGGGAAGTGACTGAGTGACTGTTTCCACTGTTTATATGTGCAGTCTATAAAGGACCATTAGCCTAGCCTTGGTCTCTAAGCCATGTTCACACAGAGACACCGATCATTATGAGTACTGTCATTGTCAAATGCTGAGAATAATATTACAGGTCATGGTTATTGAATCAACCAATGATTAAAGTTGGCTCTGGCACCTCCCTTTAACTGGCTCAAGTTCTGAAGTTACCATGCATAGGAAAATCAGTGGTGTATGATTTCAGTGATGAACAGAAGAGGAAAAAGGAACGCACTTATCTTTCTTCACTTCTTCCTTCTCGTTTTACTCTCTTTTCTCTATAGCTACCCAATGAGGGAAGGTCAACAGTTAAGTGGAGACACAAGATTGGAAGCAGTTGTCGAAAGACAAAGTTGCAACAAATTTAGTTATAGATTTTTCTTTTTTGAGACAGAGTTTCGCTTTTGTCACCCAGGCTGGAGTGCAATGGCACAATCTCTGCTCACTACAAGCTCCACCTCGTGGGTTCAAGTGATTCCCCTGCCTCAGCCTCCCAAGTAGCTGGGACTACAGGCATGCACTACCATGCCCGGCTAGTTTCTGTATTTTTAGTAGAGATGCAGTTTCACCATGTCGGTCAGGCTGGTCTCGAACTCCTTACCTCAGGTGATTCACCCGCCTCTGCCTCCAAAAGTGTTGGGATTACAGGTATGAGCCACCACGCCTGGCCTGGAGTTTAATTTTATAGACCCAAAAGGGCTGAGGAAAGCAGTAATAGAAAATGAAGAGCAGATTTGTCCTTTCAGAGTGACTTTTCTTATAAAAGTTAAAGCAGAAGGAACTCCCTTATTTTGCTGGCTAATTCCAGCCTCCTTGGGGATTTGGCTATTATCTTTCTCTCTCTCCTGATTTCTGATAAGGTCATATAAACATCACAGTTTGGGGTTAGAGTCTTGGAACTTCAGCATTGTTAAATTAAGCTTAGCCTAAAGCTGCCTCCTTACATATTTTAAGTTCAACCCAAAGGTTTCCCTGTATATAGTGATCTATATAAGACATGACCAGGCAATAGGCTTAATTTTTGTCATTTTTCCATGAGAAGTAATACCTGGGTAGGGCAAGTGGAAAATCGAGAGAGCATTTACATCCTCTGAAGACAGTCTCCAAAACTAGTGTATTTTCTTTCTTTTTTCTCTTTTTTTTTTTTGAGACAGAGTCTCAATGTGTCACCCACACTGGAGTGCAGTGGCCCGATCTCAGCTCATTTCTGCCTCCCATCTTCAAGCCGTTCTCCTGCCTCAGCCTCCCAAGTAGCTGGGATTACAGGTGCCCACCACCATGCCTGGCTAATTTTAGTAATTTTAGTAGAGATGGGGTGTCATTATGTTGGCCACGCTGGTCTTGAACTCCTGATCTCGTGATCCACCCACCTCAGCCTCCCAAAGTGCTGGGATTACAGGCTTGAGCCACCGTACCTGGCCCAACTAGTATATTTTCAACAATCATTAAGGTCCTGCGTGGACATGACAAGTCACTAATGGAAGCAGTGTGAAAACAAGACTGTGAAAAATGAAAAGAAGATATCGACAAGTGCTAAGTTTTACGTGTTTGCCCTGTACCCATACTACCACAGCCCCCAACCACTGGCACAGTCCCCACTGTGCTGTCTGCCTCTTCAGATCCGTTCTACATTGCTCTTGCCCTGGGAGGCTGACCTCTCCTGACTGCAGAGGTGAGGGTCCCTTATCCTCTGGATTCTAGTGGTGTTTGCCCAATGGGTGGAGGAGAGAGAGATCAGGTTTTCATTCCCCCAGCTCTCCCTGCTGGACCAGTGTTTCACAAAGAGTGCATTCCAGACTGAAGGCCACTGCTATGGTTCTCCTCAGGTTCTAGCAACTGCGTTTGCCCCTGGGAGCTTCACCAATCCTTGTTGTTTTTTTTTCAAATAGTCCCTTTATTAAATTTTATTCATTTACCTCTTTTTTTTTTTTTTTTTTTT